CCAGGCTGCACCAAACAGCCCTAAAGCAGCTAGGCAAAAGGTGCAGATCACCCCCTTAACTCACCTACTGGTGGCAAATCACCCCCTCAACCCATTTCACGCGCATACTACCCCCTCAACTCACCTGCAGTGGCAAATCACCCCTTCTTTAACGCCGGCATCATCTTTCTGTTAACTTTTAATAGTCCGTTCACCTACCCCTCTTCTGCGTCTGATGTAGCATTTTTTTTCCTGAGATGGACAGACCACTTGGACAAATCACCCCAAAATCATCAAATCAAGCAAATTTCTTGGCGGGATGGCAAATGATTTGCAAAATCCCTAAGGCGTGAGAAATTGAAAATTTTTCTGAGGTTAACAAAAAGATTACAAGTTTGATTTGCAAAGCCAAACTGTAAAGACACGGAGAAAGTACACAAGACTCACGCTTTTGAAGTATTTTTTAAAAGATTACTGTAAAATTCAGGGGAGTTCCAAATTCCTCTGTTTTACAATTTATCACATGCACCAGCTGCGAATCTACTGGAAAAAACACTTTCTTTTGCCGTGGATTGGACCCACAACCTATCACTTTCTCTGATTTTCCCTAGTCTTCTTTTTCCGATCCAAACACAAGTTTAATCCCTGAAAAAAGAAATAAAAATGGAAAAAAATGTTTACAATGCAAGAAAAATACCTCAAACTTAGTTTTTAAAATTTTTAAAATATTATTTTAAATCTTTTTACCTAATATTTTATTAAAATAATATAATTATTAAAAAAAATTGTTGTTTTTTTTTCAATCCTGCCGATAACGTTGGCATCAGAAAAAATATGAATTTCGTAGTTTTTTTTTAAAATTTATTTTTCTTTAAAATGGTGAAAATGAAGAGAATTTATTACCATCAAGATAGACAGAACCGTCGGAATTGAATCCGATGGACCCCGGATAGCTGCCGGGTAGCTTCAAAGGAAGAGGAGCGCCTACAGTTAGTCCTACTAAGATCATCACTGCGTCGCCTTCAAGCTTCATTTCCTCTGATTTTGAATTCGCCTTTACATTAGAATTTTCCTGTATGAGTTTGACCTTCTCGCCTTTCTGGTCATCATTGCGGCCCCGACAGAACAAATTGTGATCTCCAAATACGCCTGTTGAGGGAAAGCAGAGTTCCCCAACGGCGGCCCTGGTAACAGTGTTCAATTTTTTGAAGGACGAAGAGGGGAAGAAGACGATAGAAGCTAGCAGAAATAAAACCATGTTTTCATTGATGATTCAGAGCTTGACGAAGAAGCCATGCTCGATGAATTGCAAATCTTAAAGAAATAATGTTCAATTTTTGAAAGATGAAGAGGGGAAGAAGACGATAGAAGACATAGAAGCTGGAAAAAATAAAACCCGTTAAAAATAAAACCCTAGATCCCCAAATCCCAATTTTATTTCCCTAGAATTTAAGGGCATAAAAAAAATTTTGGGTATTTGTCCAGGTGGCTTGTCCATCTCAGCATAAAAAATGCCACATCAGACGCAAAAAAGGGCTGGATTAACGGACTGTTAAAAGCTAACGGAAGAATGGTGCCAACATTAATAGAGGGGGTGATTTGCCACTGAAAGTGAGTTGAGGGGTTGATTTGCGCGTGAAGTGAGTTGAGGGGGTGATTTGCCACTAATTATTGAGTTTAGGGGGTGATCTGCACCTTTTGCCAAGCAGCTACATGCCCGTCTCTATCGCTCGATCATCGCAGACAGCACACGCATTTATCCATCATTATTAATAAAACTTATCATGATATATGTTCAGCATGGCAGACAATTTCTCATCACCATGCTCCCTACCACTTGCACTCAATTAAAGTATTATTTTATTTTTAAATTTTTTTAATTTATACTTACTTTTTTTAATTGATTTTTTGACATTAATTATTAAAGATACTTTTTTTTTACATTAATATCAATTTTTATTAGTTGTAATATTATTTAATAATAAAAAAATATATTATATTAATTATATTCTTAATATTTAATTTTTTAAAAATATTTTATTACTCTTATTATTCTTACTTAATCTCAAACAAAAAAATGATATATAGCAAAACAAATACATAGTTTATAAATATTAATAAAAAGTAATTATTCTCAATTAATATTATAAAATATGTAATTTATACGTGATATATAGGCTGCGAAATTACTGTCTCTGATCCTTTGAACTCTTTTTTTTTTTTCTTCACTCCGACTACAAAATCAGTGCATGTTTATTGCTACGCAATATATATATATATATATATATATTTCACATATTTTCCTTTAATAATACCTTAAAAACATTATGATTTAAAGCTTCATTTGAAGTGTTTTATGTAATAATTTTTTATGCAATATCATATCTAAAAATATTAATTTATTTAAATAATAAATTTTAATAAGTTACTTATTTATTTTTAATTATTTTAATTAATATTTTATATACTTTCATAATAAAAAATAAAAAACTTCAAATTACAATACAATTGAACACAACAAAGCACTTCCTGAAATGATGCTCAAAAGAAACGTGAGGTATTATTATTTATAATTTTGTTAAAATCATATAATTTTATTTAATATAATTATTTAAAATAGTTAATAATTAATAAAATAATTAATATTTATTATTTAATAAATTGAAATTAATTTATAAATTAATATTTTTAAATATTATATATAATTTTTAAAAATATAAATAAATTAAATATTAATTAAATTAAATAATTTTTTTAATAATTTAAAAAATAACACGTAATGATAACCACGATACAAAAGTATTGACGTTACCTTAACTTTTTTCGTTTGGCAATAATTATGCCCACAAAATCAGTATATACGTACATAAATGAACATTTTTTTTTCGGAACATGGGGCAATCGAGGGAATAGGGGATGTTTTAAAGTTATCGGTGAGAGTAGAGTTTTTATTAATAGAACAAAACACTCAAATTTTGAGATGAATTTGATTCACATAAATGAACATATAATCACTAAAATATGATAAAACCAGTAAGAAAAAATTATAACAAAAATTAGTATTTATAGGACTAGAACTAACCATCTTTTGCGTACATTGAGAAAACAAGTAATATGTAACTGTAGAGTAATGTTATTATCATATTTTTAAATATTATTATTATTATTTTAATTAATTATTATATTTTTTAATTTATTAAAAAATAAAAAAATTTAAAATTTAAAAAAATATGTAATGTAAAAATATAATAAATAATTACTAAAAAAAATAACATTGACTATTTAAAATGTAACAATATCTATAACTGTGCATTGTTATCTTTATATCCAATATAAAATTCAAGATAAACTCGAAAAAGACAAGTTACAAATTTAAAGAAAGTTCAGGAATTATGAGGGTTAAACCCACGATTTTTTAGAATCAGTGGGCCACAACTCCTACATTAGAAAATTAGTAACAAAAATCTGAAAATTATAAAAGGTATGTTTAAAAGTAAATGTTAATGGTATATTAATTATAATTTTTTATTAATTTGTATATAAAATACAACAATTAATTTTATTTTCAATATTAACGACATATATATGATTTTAATGTAGTAATTGATAAAATTAAAATTAATTTTTATTCTTTTACCAAGTAATATAAAAAATAATTAATACACTTTTAAAACACAAATTATAGTCTATCCATCTCAGAATAATAGATTTTTTTAATTTAAAATTT